GAAACTGCGCCAGAGCCAAGTGTTTTCAGCAAGCCCTGATCTGTTGCATGTTAGGTTTGATAAATGAGACCTAGCAGATTAACATCACCTCCTCAGCCGAAGGGCTGACCCCAGTGGTGCTGCTCAAGAGGAAGGAAGAGGCCGGGCACGGTGGCTCCCGCCTGTCATCCCAGCACTTTAGGGGGCCGAGGAGGGCGAATCACTTGAGCCCAGGCATTCAAGAGCAGCCTGGGCATGGTAGAGACCTTGCCTCTACAATCAGTCAATCAGAAGGTGGAGGAAAGAGGAATGGCAGAAATGCTTCAGGAGCCAGTGTCCAGTGAGCAGAGGCCTCCCCAGGGCTGAGTAGTCCCCGGGAGGGCCTGTCTCAGCACCTGTCTTTAGATGCACATCTGCCCCTGGCCTTTGAGATGCATGCATTTGTCAAGCAGGGGAATCCATAGTCATTAAACCAAGGTGCCAGTCTGGGGCCCAGCTTTCAGTGAAGCATCAGTGGCTTTTTCATTCCCATTATAGCAACTGTGAGGAAGGCCCCATGCTCCCAGGGGCGTAATTCTCCAGACCAGGACCAGATCATTTCTTCCTTCTCAGAATCTTATATTTTTTTGCTGATGGTTCCAAAATTAAATGCTGAAATCTAAAAAGAAAATTATACTTACTCTAGTCAATGGGATGTTGGAGACCTGAGAGGGAAAAAAATCAAACTAAAGATCAGTTTCCTTCTTTAGCAGAAAAAAAAAAAAAAAAAAAAAAAAAACGAGAAAGTTAACTTAGAATATTCAGAGTTCTGGAAATCCCACTCTGAGACCACTCTGCAGTGTCACATTGTTCTCTTGAGCCTCATCTCAGTGGATAAAGGTCACTAGATTTTATTAGACACAGGAAAACATCATTTACAGGAGACTTCTTCATTGTGTAGGGATTCTGCCTTTAGGCCTGTTCACCAACCGGGAGAATTGTGCTTTTCAATCCAGGGCTTTTGGCCAGAACAGCCTTCTTGCTCATTAACTCAGTCGACCAAATGCTTCCTGTGTTTCAACTGGTGGTTCAGAAACTATCAGAACCTAGTCTTTGCCCTCTAGGACCTCATGGCCTAGTGGGAGAGAAACCAGAAAGCCAGAATTTATAATACAAGATAATAAGGAGTAAGAGCAGAGCCTTTGGAACCAGAAAGACTTAGATCCAAATGTCAGCACTGCATTTACTAGCAAGTGGCCTATCTTGGCAAGATACAACTTTTTTCTCTAAGTCTTTATTTTTCCCTCTGTGAAGTATGACCTCCTGGGGTTATTGTGACGATTAAATGGTATATTGTAAATAAGGCCCTTGGCACAATCTTTGAAAAATCGTAACCATTCAGTGAATGTGATACACTAGTATAGTAGTGATTAAGGTGTTTATAGGGTGCTATGGAAGCCCAGAGAAAGGAGATGAGAAGAACAGGAGAGAGGAAGGGTTTCCCCACAGTTACTGTTGAGAAGTATTTCAGGATGGCAGCCTGCCATAGGCTATATTTTGAAGAAATGGTTGAAGTCAGTAAGATAAGTGAAGGGAAGGTGAGAATGTTTCAGGCAGGAGGAATAAATAAAATCTGAATAAGCGCAGAGTCCTGACCCAGCATAGGATGTGTGAGGAACTTGGTATGGTAACAGATGAAGATGACTTAACATGGAGCAAAAAGATAATTACAGAAACTGAGGCTAGAGGATGACTGGGACCAGGTCATAGAGGATATTAAAGATGGGTAAAACTTATACCATGAAGGAGAGAAGAGTTACAGTTTTTAACATAAAATAAATAGACTTCAAGAGCTAAAATTTGAAATGAATACAAAATGATCAAGTGAATGTCCTGTCTTCCGGTGAGCCTGAATGAAAAAACCTTACCCAATGCAGCAAACTTAGAAATTAGAAAATAAAACTTAGAGATTAGAAAATAAAAACTGAAACCCAAACTTTTTACTTAGAAATTTAAAAACATACTTCTATATAACTCTTAGGTTAAAAATAAAATCAGAATTGTAAGACAAGCTGTTTAGAAAAGAACTGTGAGTACTATTTATCAAAGCCCATCGATGAGACCAAGTGACACTAAGAGGAAAATGTAGAGGCTTAAATGCATTTATTAGAAAACAAGAAATGCCAAACTGAATGAATTAAGCATTCAGCTAAAGAAACTAGAAAAAGAAAAGAAAGTAAACCTAAACACCGTTTTAAAAAGGAATTCAATAAAGAACAAAACACACAATGTTTAGAAACAGACTCAATAAAACCAAAAGCTGTGTCTTTTTAAAAAGGAAAAAATAGATAAACCCTTGACAAATCAGATTTTTTTAAATGAGAAAATGGACAAATAAAGAGCTTTAAGGGCCAGGCATGGTTGGCTTATGCCTATATTCTCAGCACTTTAGGAGGCTAAGGCAGGAGGATCGGTTGAGGCCAGGAATTCAAGACCCGCCTGGGCCATGTAGCAAGACCCCCACCCCTACAAAAAATTTAGGAATTAGTTGGTTGTGGTGGCTCATGCCTATAGTCCCAGCTACTTGGGAGGCTGAAGCAGGAGGATCACCTGAACCCAGGAGTTGGAGGCTGCAGTGAGCCATGATCATGCCACTGCACTGGGCAACAGAGTAAGACCCTGTCTCCAAAAAAAAAGAAGCATTAAGTTGAGGGGCATAAATAAAAATAATACATTTCAGATTCCAAGAGAGTATCATTTATAACTTTATTCTAATATAAATTACTAAAACTTTACCATATAAATAGTAGAAAGCCTGAATAGATTAAAAACTATGGAAGAAAATTTAAAGATAGTGATAGATTTATCACCAAGCTCAGATGGTTCTGCAAACAAATTCTAACAAACCATCAAGGAACAACAGATCATTATGACATAAGACACAAGGCAAACCTCTCAACTCACTGTAAAGGCTAGTTAACATTATTACCCAAACAGGCAAAGAATGACCCCCAAAATAATTCTAAACCAATATCACCTACAAATACAAAAACCCTATGTAAAATATTAGCAAGTACAAGGGTATAAAGAACTCTAGTAATGTAGTTCACTATACTAGGTTAAGATAAAACCTTAACTCTTTAGATACCATATCTCTCTAGATAGAAAAATGTAAAAGCATTTGATAAAAATTCAATACATTCCTGACTAAAACAAATTAAAATTTTAAAACCCTGGAAACCCAGGAGAAAAACATGTCCTCCATAATCTGTAGCAAACATCATAGTTGGTGATAAACAATTAGAAGCATTTCCTTCAAAGTTAGGAATGCAACAAGAATTGCTACTATTGCTACTATTAGTTAATCCCATGTTGGAGGTTTTAGCCAACACACTATGGCAAGAAAAGGAAACGAAAGGTTAACACTGCAAAAGAAGAAATAAATAAAGCCACCATTGCTGATAAAATTGTCTTTCCAAAAAATAAGTAGAAATCCAAAAGCTATTCTAACTGACAAAAGTTCAGAAAATTGGAATAGTTTCAGTATACTAAAATCAATTCATTTTCTTTGCATCAGTGGGGATATATTAGATGTAACAAAAATGAAGAGTCCATTCACAATAGAAGCTAAGAAGTATTTGAGAATAAAACTAACAAGAACTACATAAAAAAGTAAAATATTTCAAAGTAATTTAAGTTCACAATTTGCAAATTAAGAAAACTATAAGGAAACTCTGGTTTCTCTTCAGATCGTATAAATCTTTCGCCTTTTACTAAAAAAAAAAAAAAAACTATAAGGAAGAACTAGTGAAAATGACAATCTTACTACTCAAAAGAAACCTCTGTTAAAATGTATCAGTATTGGCCGGGCACGGTGGCTCAAGCCTGTAATCCCAGCACTTTGAGAGGCCGAGGCGGGTGGATCACGAGGTCAAGAGATCGAGACCATCCTGGTCAATATGGTGAAACCCCGTCTCTACTAAAAATACAAAAAATCAGCTGGGCATGGTGGCACGTGCCTGTAATCCCAGCTACTCAGGAGGCTGAGGCAGGAGAATTGCCTGAACCCAGGAGGCGGAGGCTGCAGTGAGCCGAGATCGCGCCATTGCACTCCAGCCTGGGTAACAAGCGAAACTCCATCTCAAAAAAAAAAAAAAAAAAAAAAAAAAAAATGTATCAGTATTTTAAAACTGTGTTTTGCCATTACAAAATATGCCGTATTAAGCAAATATAGCATAAGCAAATTCAGCAAAAAGAAGATAAACCTTCTTTTAAAAGCATATTTGGGAAAAAAAAACATATTTGAAACTATGTTAAGAAACTGGACAGAAGCTATAAAACATGGATTCATCAGGAAGGAGCAGATGTTGAAAAGGAGATTTCTGGCTGGGCGTGGTATCTCACGCCTGTAATCCTGTCACTTTGGGAGGCCAAGGCACGTGGATCACTTGAGGTCAGGAGTTTGGGACCAGCCTGGACAACACAGTGAAATCCTATCTCTACTAAAAATACAAAAATTAGCCAGGCGTGGTGGTGAGCTCCTGTCATCCCAGCTACTCAGGAAGCTGAGGCAGGAGAATTGCTTGATCTCGGGAGGCATAGGTTGTGGTGAGCCCAGACTGTGCCACTGCACTCCAGCCTGGATGACAGAGCAAGACCCTATCTTTAAAAAAAAAAAAAAAAAAGAAGAAGAAGAAGAAGAAGAAAAAGAAAAGGAAAGTTCTGAGTAGAAGCATGTTAGCAGAGGAAACTTCATTTGGGGAACAGGATTGTTTTGATGTCATGTTCCATCAGCTGACCACCCAGATTCCATCCTGGCCAGAAAAAGAAAGCCCCTGCAAAGAGCTCTGATCGTTTTGGTTCTGATTCCATCCTCAGTTCTTACCCACTATCTGCTTACCCTCCCTACCTGTTTAAGATCAGAGCAAAGCAAACCAAAAACACGGGTGAGCTGCTTGGTAGAGCTGCCTAGGCTTCCGAGGTAGGGCCCAGAGGATTTTTTGACTGAACCCCCTCTTGTGTTTTCCATTTGTGCTTCCCAGACCGCCCAGGTTTGCTGAATGTGAAGCCCATTGAAGACATACAAGACAACCTGCTACAAGCCCTGGAGCTCCAGCTGAAGCTGAACCACCCTGAGTCCTCTCAGCTATTTGCCAAGCTGCTCCAGAAAATGACAGACCTCAGACAGATTGTCACGGAACACGTGCAGCTACTGCAGGTGATCAAGAAGACAGAGACGGACATGAGTCTGCACCCCCTCCTGCAGGAGATTTACAAGGACTTGTACTAGCAGAGTCCTGAGCCACTGCCAACATTTCCCTTCTTCTAGTTGCACTATTCTGAGGGAAAATCTGACACCTAAGAAATTTACTGTGAAAAAGCATTTTAAAAAGAAAAGGTTTTAGAATATGATCTATTTTATGCATATTGTTTATAAAGACACATTTACAATTTACTTTTAATATTAAAAATTATCATATTATGAAATTGCTGAGAGTATTTGAAGACTGAGTCTTGTGTGTTTCCACCCTAGCCTATAGGCTTTCTTTTTCCCCCCTTTCATTTCCTCTCTCCTCCCTCTCTCCCTCCCCTTCCCTCCTTTCCTTCTTCCTTTATTTTTCTTCTTTCTTTCTTAGACATTTTAAAATATATGAGTGGAACTGCTGATAAACTTTTATTCTCAGTAAATTAATTTTTTAACCAATTTACAAATTTTCAGAACTCTGCATCTGCTTTAACAATCAGAACAAAGAAGGGAAGGGGAACTTCAGAATCAGAAACTGCTCAGAGCTTGTGTTTTGTAGCTTGGATGTGCTAATATGCAGCGTATCCCTGGGCTTACCCAGAATTCAATCTTCTTCCACAATCCTAGCGGAGATTTTCACTCACCACCGGGATCCTACTCATATACTACCTTACTAATCAATGCTACTGCACCCCCAGAGACAATGGCCAGCAACTGAGCCTGCTAGAAACTGTGGGGAACACAGAATTGTTTTAAGATTTGGTATCTGGGCCAGGCACAGTGTCTCAAACCTTTAATCCCCACACTTTAGGAGGTCAAGGTGGATGGGTCGATTGAGGTGGTCTCCTGTTCAAGATGCTGTCTCTACAACAGTTTAAATGTTAGCCATTTGTGATGGCACACACCTGAAATTTCGGCTACTCAGAGGCTGAGGCAGGAGGATTGCTTGAGCCTGGGAGTTTGAGGCTGCAGTGAACTGTGATGGTACCACTGCACTCCAGCCTGGGCCACAGAGTGAGACCCTGTCTCTAAAAAAGTTAAAAAAAAAGATTTGACACCTGCCAAAAAGAATTTGCCAATTATAAACTGAGGAGAAAAGATTAATCTTTCTTCATACAGATTCTAATTCGCGATGAAATCACGTGCCAGGTGAATGTTTTGGAGCCTAAGTGCTGTAAGAGTTTGTAGGAAGTAAAATGAATGAAGTCTGGAATCCTAGAGAATCAATCTGTGGATTCGCTGAAGAGGGCCTCAGGGAAGTGTTGGATTGGAATAGATAGGAGAAAGGACAAGAGCTACTTTCTGTTTTCTTCCGCAGTGCACTTTTGCCATGGTTATTCCTGTCCTCCTCCTTGGGACCACTCTATCCAGAGATCTCTTACTTTTCTGAATTCAGAGGCTAACTATCCATATTTTGATGGAATGCTTGCCTCCCAAACAAATAGATTTGAAGTTCCTTGAAGGCGGGACAATCTGTTCATTCTTGGCACAATGAGTAGATTCATTGTTTAAATCCACCAAATTCACTTGTATTGGCCACTCAGGAAATCATCATACTATGTCCTTGAAGAATGTCTTTCAGGGGTGTCCAACAGAGAGAATACAGTCATGGGTTCTTAGTTTCTGTTTCTGACTGGGCCAATAAAGTCCCTTTCTCATCCCTCTTTTCTGCTTATCACTAGGGACAGAAATTCAAAATCATGGCTTCAGGCGGCTGAAAGCCTAAACCAAACCAAACCAAATCACAACAACAAAATGCAGTCTGGACAAGCTTGCAAGTGTAACCTGACTATCTGGAGGCCTCCGTTGTATGGGACGGTTATTTCCACTGACCTGAATTATTTCCCTGCCACTTCTCCCTTAATTTATCTTGTTACGGTATTTACACTCAGGAGGACATAACTGCAGACTGGAGGCTTTCAAGCCAAATTATCAAGAAAGGCCTGTTCATCTTTTGTTTAAAAATAACCATATCTCCAAAGAATCAGGTTATAGAAGTACTGACCCCAGCCCTAAAAATGTAGGGTTCCTAACCCTTCAGGAGAGACCCCCTTCTGAGCCGAAACCTTTAGAATGACAAAGACTGAAGCCATTGTCTAAGTAACATCAAGACATTTGCAAGGAAAGTGACAAATTTAGTCAATCATTTGGCTCTTGTTTTTCCTTCCTTGATGCCAAACAGGATATTTTGAAACACTCCAATGACTGGCTAGAGTCTTCTGTGTGGAGAGTTGATAGTCAGGGATCTCTCGAAAGAGAATGTACAGGCAGTAGGCAAGATACAGTCCACCTCCAAGGCGCTCCCCTGTTTACAAGCTTTCTTGAACAAAAAGTCTTTCAGCCCTACTGCCTGGTCTCAGTTCCCACCAGTACTCTGCAGCCCATCCAAGCCTTTCCACATTATCGGAGCTGTTGCTGCCAATGGAGGGAGGAAGAGAGGCGCTCTCAGCTCTCTGGCACTGATGGTTAGCATTAAATGGCTTTTAAATCCTGGCAGCTTTCAAATTCCCATCTCTCTGAGTTTTTCCCTGTGGCTTGGATGATCATTTGCTAAATATTTTACGACACTTTATATTCAGCCTCCAAAGCTCCTGCTCCTTTCTCCCTCTCTCTCTCCCCCAGGATGAATCATAAGTTAACGAATGTGTCATCAGTTATTCATAGTACTTTCTCTGGATACAAACACACGTAGGGATTTGTGTTAATAAAAATAGGAAGAAAAGTAACTTTGGTCAAGAGTCAAGAAAGGGTTTCCAGGCTCCCACAAGAGCTCTCCCCCAGCACCTCCCTGGAACGGGTTCCCTTTTCCTTCTTCCCGCTGTGTGTGGAGCCCAAGAACAAAGAAGGGACACACTGAAGAAGCAGAGCTGCACACCCTGTTTCTCCAGCCATCGTAGGAGACTGGGCTGGCCTGAGTTTATGGCTTGTTTTTTACAATGTGGGTGCAGAGCAAGGAGCCTGGGAGGCTTGGGGTCAGAAGAGGTAGCAGCACTAGCTGATCCACATAGCAAATTTCCAACTAGAGGCCTGGGGAGGAAATCAGAGGGCAGCTCCGCCACCTCCACTAAGGGGCAAAGAGGCAAGGGGACAGAGGCGTCTGCGGTGGACTTCCTTGGTGGCATCTGGACTCCGATGACTTTTTCTTGGCTCCCTTGAGGCTAGAAAGCAGGTATTTTCATAGACAGGTCCTCCTTGCTTGACACCGCCTGTTGACCGTGTGGTGCTGATGGAAGGAGCTGGATGAGGAAGGGGCTGGATGTTGGCCTCTGGATACCCATTCCCTCGGAAATACCTAGTGGGGGTAGTGAGGGTGGGAGAGTGGGGCTCCTAATTCTACATCCCGAGAGAAAGAACCAAAGCTTATTTCTACCATGCCCACCCCATTGCTTTCTGGTTACCCTTTTTTTTTTTTTTTACCTGTTCGATGCAGCGGTTTGGGTTATGAGACAGGATGACCAAGATGCCCGATGGTCACTAGATGGCCCCCTCCCTACCTTCTGCTCTCCCTCCCATGTCCTGGTTGTTGGCCCCAGCCCCTGGCTGTCTCTGCATCATGAACGCTGTTGTTGCTTGCACATCCCCACCCTCACCGTGTGATTGCACCTGGTAGACCCTCCATTTAACGCCAACTGAAAAGAAATAGCAGGGTCTTAAGGGTTCAAAAGATCAAGCAATGTCCCATGGCCCCACCGCATTCATTAAACACATAACCCGTACTCTAGTCACGTCTAGCAGGCTGTGATGGTGACTGCGAGTAGGCCCTGCGCTCAAGGCGGGTACAGTCTGGATTAGTAATCACAGCTCAGCGGACACAACTTCCTAGGGAGGTGAAAGGATTCGCAGAGCGTGCACGTAAGCCCAGGAGTGTGGAATTCTCCGTGTTCAGAGATTGGCCAGAAGAGGGGGGTGGCCGCCGCAGCTCCCAGGCTGAAGTGTGGATGTGGCCAGTCAGTGGCAGATTGTGGGAGCCTTGTCCTCCCTGACGAGGAGGTCTCTCGGTCTGCATTCGTAGCAACTGGGATCCGGGGGGGATGCTGCTAGGCAGAAGAGAGGCATGTTCAAATTTGCATTTTGGAAAGTCAGCACCGCAAAAGTCAACACTCCCCAAAGCAGAAATTTCCTCTACAATGGTCCTAATGGTTGCCCAACCCACAGACAACGACAGAAGCTGCAGGAAGCTCTCTCCCCTCTAAGCCCCTAGGTGATTTCCAGCAGCAGGCCTGGCTCTGCCCCTGGGCTCACACTTACCACATGCTTGTTCCTGTGCCCTGGGGGCTCCAGCTCACCTCCTTCCCTTCCATCTGGTTGCAATCTCTTGCCTCAGTCATAGACAGCTTAAGGACGCTGGCCCATCGCCTCTTGGTATCCATTCCCTACTGTTGCTCATACTGACCCAAGCTACAGAGGTCCTCGGCTTTGTTTCACCTTTTCATTTAATTTGTTAACGTCTCATGGTCATTTTTATTTGCATGTATCAAAGACTGCCTGTCCCATATCTCATGTCCAGAAAGGCCTTGCATTGGTCATAGGCATCAAGAAAATTAGAGGCTCGCCGCCGTGGCTCACGCCTTTCTGGACATGAGATATGGGACAGGCAGTCTTTGGGACGTAATCCCAGCACTTTGGGAGGCCAAGGCAGGCATCACCTGAGGTCAGGAGTTCAGGACCAGCCTGGCCAACATGGTGAAAACTCGTCTCTACTAAAAATACAAAAATTAGCCGGGCATGGTGGCGGGTGCCTGTAGTCCCAGCTACTCAGGAGGCTGAGGCAGAAGAATCGCTTGAACCTGGGAGGCAGAGGTTGCAGTAAGCCAAGATCTCACCACTGCACTCCAGCCTGGGTGACAGAGTGTCTCCAAAAATAAAAATAAAAACACATATTAAAAACAAAAGAGATGATTATATAAGACACTTAAAACTGTGTGTAGCACACAGTATGTGTTCAATAAATAGCAGCTATGATTGGAGACAGCATCCTGGAGTGGACTTTACTCTAATTTGGGTTAAAAGTCTAACACAACTTATGATTCTAGAGCCATATGGCTTTGGCCAATCTCTCAATCTTTCTAGGCCTTAATTGCCCTCATATGTAAAGTGGGATAATACCCACCTTAGAGGGCTGTTATGAGGATTAAATGTAATAATGGTTGTAAAACACTTCACAGGGTTCCCAGCACATCCTAGCAAGTCCTAAGTGCTGGCTGTGGGTAACGTTATTGCTGCTGTTTTTAAAGTGCCCCGCATTTGAGGAGAC